TAGTTCTTGTCAGTTACCCAGGAAGGTGAGACCGATGAAGGATTAATAATGTATATGACATCCCACCCCAGTATTGCAACATTCCATGAAATAAATGGTGATGGGAACAAAGCAGGCAATAAGCAGTCAGGACACACAAAATCAAGAACTTACACCCAACTATCTTCATCTCTGCATCAGAAAGAAAGGGGCGAGAATGAGGGGGACAGCATAGAGAAAAACAAGAACAATTAAGACAAATAGGAAAAGAGAAAGAAACATCACTTGTAGGTCAGTGATGAAACATGCACTTTTTATTAAGGATCAAAGAAAATGACAAGAGTGTATTTACAAGCACAAAGACAAAAATCAGAGGGCCCTTAAGAGACTGGCATGTCTGCATAGTTATTTTTTAATGTGCTAGTCCAGAACTATCCAAGAACAAGTACTGATTACCTTAGATCTGACTCGGTAAGAACAAATCACCCATACCCAAGGCAGAGTACTTTCTAAGTAATGACATTTTCTTTTCTTTTACTTTGACCTTTTTAAAGTTTGAGTTATTGTTATTGTATGTATGGATATATGGTTTATATATGTGAGAGAGGGGTTACTGGAGCCCTGATGTATGGTATAGAGGTCAGAAGGCAACTTTTAGCTGCTAGTTACATCGTGGGTTCTGGGATCAAACTCAGGTTTACACAGTAAGTACTTTTACTCACTAAGCCATCTTGACAGTCCTTAAGACATGGCTCTTTCATAATTTAAATTTTAACTTTGTGTGTATACACTTACGTGTGTCTGTGAAGCCCAGGTAGAAAGTCAGATTCCCTGAAGCTGCAGTTAAAAGTAGTTTTGAGCCATGCCATGAGTGCTGAGAACTGAACTTGGACCTTCTTCAAAAGCAGTGTATGTCTTAACCACTGAGACACCTCTCATCCTAAGACAGGGTACTTAAAGAGGTTCCCAAATTACCTAAAAGCTGTGAGAAAACCAAAGTGCTGGGCCCTGACTCAACAAATCAGAAACTCTTGAGGCAGACACAACAATCTCTTTTTCTAAGTCTTGTAAATAATTCTGATTCATAATAAGATTAGAGAACTACTGCTTTAGAGAAGACTTACTCTAGTTAGAACAATATACTAAACTATAGGTGGACTTTTATATTAAGATAAAAGACCAACTAATTTGAAACTTGGCTCTTATCCACAGAGACAATAAATACCCTTAGAAATTCAAGACAATGAAAACAGGTTAAAACACTGTACATCTCATAGAACCACAGAAGAACGGCATTAACCTTAAGACACTTGCTTTCCAGTAAAGACAAGAGGATAAAATAAGAGGATACAAAAGGTGTTGGCACACTGCTGCAGGCTTAACATGGCATAGAAGAAGGGTACGTGGGTACACCACCTTCTTCAAGAGGGTAATTTAAGAATGTTACACTCTATCGGCTGCCAACATTCTCTGAGGTATTACTGCGGCTAATACTGACCCATGAGTCACAGGAGAGGATACGGACACCTACTTGTACCCCTGGAATATCTGTCCTAATCACATCTTTCCTTTTAAAAACATAGTAAAGAACTAAGGGTGTGCTATTCCTCTGAATAAAAGCAGTTTTGAAGTAAGGAGAGAACGGGAAAATTGTGATTAACCAATAAAAGGTTTATGTGCTCAGTCTAAAAAATGAAGAGATGGCTTAGTTGGTAAAGTGCTTGTTGTACAAGCACGGGGACCTGAGTTCAGCTCACTAGCACCATGTAAACAGCCAAGTACAGTGGTATGTGTCTCTAACTCCAGCATTTGAGAGCATGGAGACATCAGTTTCCCAGAGGCTTGCTCGCCAGCTTGTCTAGCCAACCGAAGAGTTCCAGGTTCAGTCAGACACCTTGTCCCAAAAACAAACATAAAGTGACAAAAAGTACCCAGTGTCAGCTTTTGGCTTCTACAAACATACACATGTACAAAAATATGAATACACACAATACTACACACTTACACAAGATAAAAAACAAACTACGATCAAGGTGTAGTAGGGCCAACCTGCAATAGCAGCATTTGGGAGGTAGAGGCAGAAAGATCAAGAGTTCAAAGCCAGTCTCACTTATACTCACTAATACAAGGAGTTCAAAGCCACCATTTTTTTAATCTATCAAAGCTACAATCCCCACATCTATTTGTTCTTTTATAACACATCGTGGCATTTCTGTTTGGCTTTTTATGGGGCTTTGAGGGCAATGGTTCTCAGAGTCCTTGCAGTGTCCCTGCTGCTCTTGCTCTTTAAAGGGCCATGAGGGGAGCAAGAAGGCTTAGTCAATAACTCAGCTGTGGCACACAGGAGGCGTCACCTGCTTTCAACATCCAATATATAAACTCTCATGGAAAGCAATGAAAAGATGTCAGAAAAACCTTTTTAGAAGTGACATGTTGGGTACCTGTGCTCAGAGTCTGGCTTGACTCTTCCATGCAGCTCTAGCAACATGTTTTGACAGGGATCTATCTGGGCCAGTCTGACAAAAATAGGCCTCTCCATATGAGTATCTGGTAGTTTCTGCCAAATGCTGGGTACTTTAAAAATAAGGATCACAGCTTACGAGTAATTCTAATTTTTCATTTACTATAATTCTTCAGATTTTAGTGTTGATAAGCTCACAGCTACTGACATAGTTTCTTTTCTTGTTCTTGCTCCATGTGTCAAGAAAATGAAGCTGCAGCTTTGTGTAAGCTGGCCAGCACTGGGAAGCTGAGGGACTGTTGAATCCCTGTCTAAGAATGGTAAAACCCATTCTGACAATATATTGGAGCACAATATAAGGAGATGATAGCTGTAAGTTCATGGGTGGCCATTTGTGTAAAACTTAGCTCTTTGCTAAGAAGGAGAAAGGACTGAGGATAGGAAAGTATGTACAAACTACTATTTACTTTTAGCTGTAACACTCAGTATAGTATAGCAAAGGCAGACAACCCAAAAGTGATACACCCATGTCACTGCTTCAGGTCTCATGAAATACCCAAAGCCTTGCCTTCAGCCCTGCCTGCACCCTGTGATGACCCTTTAACTTCTTGGAAAACAGTTGACTACTTCCTTAACCTAGGCTCACCTCACTAATGCTTGACATTGCACAATTTCATAGTCATTTTTAATGCAGACAAAAATCCCTTCTGTGTGTCAATGATAAAAAGTGATAGAGAATACTCGAGTAGAAGGTCGTTTCAAAAATGTATCTTGCTAATATAATTTGTACAAACATATGCATGTATGGAAGTCAAGGAAAGTCAGATGTTATTTCTCAGAAACTGCCCATCTTAGATATTTTTTTGAGATAGTGTTTTTCACTGGCTTGCCAAGTTTGCTCGGCCAGCTGGCCAGCAAGCCTCAGGAATCTGCCTGTCGTTGCCTCCCAGTTGAGTGCCAAGATTATATTAGGCACTGCCATACCCAGCTTTTTAAAATGGGTTCTGCTGATTGAGCTCACATCCTCATGCTTGCAAGAGTCGCACTCTACCCACTGGCAGAACTGTCTCCAGCCTTTATGTAAAGTTTTGACTGAAGTATATTTCTTTCCAGATTCTGTTTAGTTAGTTTTAATTCTATGAGATATTAGGAAATATCTTTAAAAACCTTAAGAGAAGAAAGGAAGGACTTAAAGGATACATAATATTCCACAGTTAGAACCTAGACATCTAATTTGGAAAAGATCAGTTTTAGTAAGCCTCTATTCTCCTTTCAAAACCATGTTGCTGCAAACCTAGAGACTGTTGTTTGGGCTTTTCTTCCCCTGATTACAGGGTGCAGACAGGGCTGAAGAATGGAATCAGGAAAAGCATAGGAGTAATTTCCAAAGAAACAATCACCTGTACAACAGCCAGATGGAGGCCCTTCATAAGCATGGAGTCTCTTAGCACTTAGCAATAAACATAATTGATCTAGTTGGCCTAAATTTGCCACCCAAAGAGGCCCCTGTGTTCATGAGTAGGAAATAAAGGCAGTGCACAGCAGCTTGCTCTGCACTCACAGTATCCACGGAGAGAGAATGAAGATGATAGAAAATAAATCTGGGTAAGACAGAGTTGCTAGAAGGCAGCTGGAAACCATTGTGTGGGTCTTCTTTAGGCTCAAGTTAGAGTCCACTTTGGGATGGTATTGGTAAATGTTTCCAGCAAGAGGATTTAGTGAAGAACCGGGAAAAACTAACAGATGACCTGGCTCTTCTCAACAAAACAAGCTTTGTACAGGGAATTAAAACTCAACTGAGAGGGAAAGCCTACCTCTCCTAGAATCTATCCAGACAGCCAGGCATTTGCTTGTTCTGAGCTCCCTGTTCCTTCACGACTTCCTCGTCATCAATTTCTACCCAGTCCTTTCACTTCTAACTGCTCCTTCAGCTCTCACAGCCCATTTGGATCAACTATCTACCTCAGTCCACCTAGGAGAAAACATAAGCCTAGTATTTGCCTAGCAGAAGCATACTTGAGGGGCAATGCATCCTACTTTTTGTTCTGGATTTCCATTGAGACAACTGCTAAGAAAATGTCCAGGCAGTAAATCTATATATACCATTTAGTGTGGTCTATTTTCTGTTGCATTAAAATGTACCTGTAATTCCTACACAAATGGGAGTCTCTGACGGTGTGAGCATATATTTCCCTTAAGCAGGAAATTCTTGTGAAGTAATCCTCAACTAGGGAATGTGATGGAAGAGAAAGTTACAAAAACACATCTCTATGAAGAAATTTAATGTTGATTCTCTTATCACCAAAACTCCACAAAGTCCATCTGCTGAACTGTCATACTGCACTGGGGAACATGATATGGGGGCTTCTGGTAAAGAACAAATGCTTATAAGGCCCAGAGGGCTACTGCTGGAAACTACAGTCAGCCACCTGACTTGGGAGGCAGAGACTTTAATGGCTGTATAGCTCACAGGAATAGCTTACCACCTGCTCAAGAGAGGAACACTAACCGCCATCCTGCTACACCACCTCCCTTCTCATCCCCAGGCAGTTCTTCTTACCTGGCATGATGACATCAGGAAATCCCAGTTTTCTTGTAATTGCTAATCCTCTATTAAATATCATGGGATTTTCTCTCCGGATCTGTTCCATGTCACCGCGAAAAAGCTGTAGGGAAATAATAAGACCTACAAAAACAAAATATTTTCTTATTCAGAATCACACATCTACCCGGTGCATAGTACTAGGAAAGACACCAAATTTGGTCTCTTTTCCATCTCTCCTGCCACAGTGCTAGGGATAGAACCTAGGGTTATACGTTGGGCAAGCACTTTATCACTAACCTATTACCATTATCCTGCCAGTTTTCTTAGAAAAATAACCAAAGTAGAAAATATGACTTATTTTGAACAAGCACAAATAAGTACAAAGATAAAAAATTTAAGGTAATCTCAATAGCACACAGAAGTAGTCCATTAAAAACATGCTATACTAAAATCTTAGAGTTTGAGTTTCCTCCCTCCAGCTCCTCAACACCCTGCCTAGAGCCTGCCAATCCCCTAGAGGATTTGGAATGATGTGGATGAGCTACACAGGCTGTGCATTTAGGCAGTCACACAAACTGTAAGGCCTAGGTTCAATATCCAATGCTTCCAAAAATTAATAATGAAACTACGAAAGAGGTTCTCAGGACCCACGTACTATAGGTTTCAGAGAACTCAGAAGTTTCTAAGTGAAGGTTTCAACCTTTTTAGCATCTGATATGGATCTCCTTTAAAGGCCCTCCCACCTGGGAAGTTTCTTTTCTATAAACAAGAAAAACTGCCAGGCTTTGTAACAGTTTTATACTGTCACATAAAACTAAAATTTAATTTCCAACAAGTTCTATGAAGGTTAAAAGAGAACTTACATAAATTATATAAGTTAATGAAATTATTTGAAGGTAGAAACTCAGGAAAAACATTGTTCCACATAAATTAGATATACAACAGTTTATAAAAGCTATTGCACTTTTAAGTAGTACTTCTAATAATAAAAAATGTTCAAGTTAGAAAACATAATCTAAGTGTAAAATTTCACTGAGATTCATATATAAATCATTTAAACATAGGTTTAAAAGAAAAGGAAGGAAAAAGAAAAGTGAATTAAGATGAAAGCTGCTTTCAAAGATTTTTCTATTCTAGTTCCAGAGTGAATTTGGCAAACTCCTCACTCACTCATTAGTGTCAAACTTAATTCATGATGCTGAATTCAACAGGAATAGAGAGAGAACTGATACTAATCTTTGTCTTCTTGTTAAAGAAAACAGACTTCACAATGTAACAAAACTTGAAACATTTTGCTCACTGGACTGGAGCTCAAGTTACTTAGAAAACTTCACAGAATTCATTATTAAAAAGAACAAAATGTCTTTTAATCAGCAGATACTAAAAAGGTCTTAATGGCTACATAAAGAACTACTACTAGAAAACTCTAAGAAAACAAATGTGGGTAGGAAATTAAGCTTTATACAGCACAGTCAATCAACACCAAACACTGCAGTGTTACATGATTAGCACATACAAATGAAACACAAAATTTTCTAGCCAAAGAAATACATCACCATGGCTGGCGCTGGGGGCCGAGTACTTGGTACTTGACTTTCGAATGATGTTCTCATGAATCTGGGTCCATTCACTCTCATTGTTACATCTGTAACAGAAAGACATGTTTTTGTGGCTCACAGAAGTTAAAACATCTGGTCTGGTGGCTCAATGTGTAACAATAAGTTTAAAGAGAAAAGGATTTCTCACTCTCTACAGAAATGAGACTATGCTTTACAATTATATCAGGCCCTTTATCTGTTAAGTATAGAAGACTGACACTTTGGGAAAAGTAGAACATAAAATTAACCCTTACACACATGCATATAACTATGCATATTAATATATAACATTTATAATTTTGAAACTTTAAAATGAATCCTTGCTAGTTTGCACACACATAAATATTATATGTAATGTATATACACACACATACATATACATACAGACACACATGAAACTTTTGCGGGTGCTAAGAATTGAACCCAATTAAACATATTTTTCTGCCACTGAGCTACATCACCAGATATACATATTTGTTGAGTGGTAAAATATCTTCATCTCTGAAGTAGAATGAGTTCTCTTCTAGCTCTGATACACACACATACACATGAGAGAGGGCGGGGTTGTGATGAAAAGTTTCTCTCAACAAATAATACTGTTTAGAAAATGCCATGACATTAGCTTTCATTTTTAACCATATGAATCCTTAATGAGGTATATTTAACAGTTGAAGTGACAGTGTTCAGTAAATGAACATTTTCAAATATTCTAGCTGAATTTTTGGCATAAATGGTCTGTTTGTCCCATGCTACATTCTGATGACACTTTATCATCAGATGGCCCAAATGTGACTGCTTCCTGAAATGAAAAAAAAAAATGCTAATAATTATTCCCTCTAGTTTATATTTAAGCTGCAACTATGTCCATTTAAGGAAAAAAAAAAGGACCAATGATGTTCTAGTGATTAATATGGAGCTTAAACACTTATATACTGTCCCACACAGGTTAGCAGAGCCTCCCCTGAGTGAGTCAAGTGAGCAGCAGTAGTCCAGGGGACTAAGTAAAATAACTAACAGAGAGTAAATAATGTCATGTCTTACGTTTTTAAAAGATTTATTTATTTTATGTATGCAAGTGCTCTATCTTCATGTACACCTGTATGCCAGAAGAGGGCATCAGATCATATAGATGGTTGTGAGGCACAACGTGGGTGCTGGGAATTGAACTCAGGACCTCTGGAAGGGCAGCCAGTGCTCTTAATCACTGAGCCATCTCTCCTGTCCTACATTTTACTTTAAAAAAAAAATGAGAGTTTAGATAAGTTTTAGTTAGTTTGTTTTTTTTTAAGTCAGTCCCACTCCCAGCCCTCTGCCCTCCCTGTAGAGTTTCCTGGGGGATCACATAATTTTAGCAAGAGTAAAAACATCCAGTTTTATACAAAAGATCCCTTCAGTTATTTAGAAAAATGAGATACCAAATATGCAATCCATCTGCCAGTTTGAACAATTATCATTCCTTCTCCTCTCAACACTTTTAATTCTTTTGAAGTAAAAAAATTCAAGCATTTGTTGTCATCCAACTGTCATTATACTAATCCTAGAGGAAAGCCTTACTAAGCTTAGTAACCTGGATACCATTTTCAACCAGAAGAGAATATGAACAGCTTCTGAGAACAGTGGTTCAAATGCTCTGTGGCCTAGGGATGGAAAACTTCACAGAAATGGCTGGATTCCTGAATATATGAGAACTAAAAGTTCCTTCCAAAGGATTTAAAGATTAGGACAAAAAAAAAAAAAAAAAAAAAGAATAGAGGAAGAACAGAAGTTTAGTGACTCTATAAAGGTCAAGTCAAAGAGAACTACTACAAATAAATCCCTCAACCTAAAGGACATTCCAATAAAACACCATGAGATTTGGGTAATCTTTTAAATTTTTATTTGCTACGCTAAGCCCTTGTTCACAGTCTTACCAAGGGCAGAAAACCGAATCCATGAACAAAGAAAACCCCAGAGGATCTCAGTATTTTTTACTGCTCACTCAGAAGTGCCTGCTTCAGAAGAAAACACCAGAATAATGGCTATGGAGCAACATCCCATTTAGAAGTATGGTACACCACAAGTCTCTAAGTGAAAAGGTTTGGTTAGAGGACAATCACATAAAGGAGGCAAGTAACTAGATTCATTTTGTTAACAAATCAGTAAGCTTGTGTGTTCCCAATTGTTCTGATGCATGGTTAAACACAGAGCACTGTATCTCTGAGGAGAGCCTCTGCTTACAGAATCCCTTCTAAACAAAGGAGGGTGTTTTAAAGTAATTGTTTCCAATTTATAACTCAGCTGGTAACAAAAAATGAGAAGTGTTGGCAGCAGCACCTGTCTGACTTGCACACTTTCTCATCTTGTTTAAGCAGTCAAGACATCAGAGCTATCTAGCTGATTAGGACTCACAAGACTTGCCTTGATAACATTTTCTTCTTGACATCTTTCTAGGTTTATGAAATTAGTAGTTATTTTTTAGACCTGATCACTCCATGACTTTCTATCTTATCTTCCCATTATTCTAGCAGCAGCTCCAACTCATGGCCAATGTTGTTTTTATTGGTGTATTTAGACAAAAATACTCTATAACTTTAATTTATAAAAAGCCTATTCTGAGCTGACAAATGTGTCTTTTATATCCCACTCTTACCCACAAGTCAATAGTTTAGATTAGTATAAAGAGGAAGTGAGTTATCAAATCCACAGAATTGCACATGTATTGGCTTCTTCACTTTCTATATTTTTCTTTTACATTACTAACTAGCATAAAATGTACTTCTGTAACATTTAATCAACATTAAAATAAAACATAGGCCCTTTTATTAACTAGAAACCTATTCTGTCTTCAGTGTAATGGACTTAAATAAGCAATATAGTTTCAGCTTCAAAATATTTAGCATAATTAATAAATGTAATTTGCTCTTAGTATATCATAATTTTCTGCTTTTAAAAATATTTTTGAGATGTCCTTGTTGTATACTTGAGTGTATTTTGGATATATGCCTAGCAGTGGTATAGCTGGATCTTGAGGAAGCACTACTCCTAATTGTCTGACAAAGCGCCAGATTGATTTCCAAAGTGGTTATATAAGTTTACATTCCCACCAAACTTTGCAGGGAATTTTATGAAAGAAGTGGGAGATAGTAAAACCTGGAGAGGACAGAAGCTCCACAAGGACAGCGACAGATCCTAAAAGTCTGGGCACAGGGATCTTTTCTGAAACTGATACTCCAGCCAAGGACCACTGACGGAGATGGCCTGGAACCCCTGCACAGAAGTAGCCTAAGGCAGTTCAGTATCCAAGTGGCCTCCATAGTAATGGGGACAGGGACTGTCTCTGACAGGAACTGATTGGCCTGCTCTTTGATCACCTCCCCCTGAGGGGGGGAGCAGCCTTACCAGACTACAGAAGAAGACAATGCAGCCACTCCTGATGAGAGCTGATAGACTAGGATCAGAGGGAAGGGGAGGGGGACCTCCCCTATCAGTGGACTAGGAGAGGGACACAGGTGGGGAAGAGGGAGGGTGCGACTGGGAGGGGAGGAGGGAGGGAGGTACAGGGGGATACAAAGTGAATAGACTGTAATTAATAAAAATAATTTAAAAAAAGAAAAAAACTTTTGGCCAGGCCTGTTGGTGCATACCTCTATCTCAGCACTAGTAAGACTTACCTAGTAAGAAGCAGCTTTACTGTCTTAGAACAAGAAAAGCAAAACTTCAAATCAGACAGAGGAGACTCTCAACAAACATTTGTTTGTATAAAGTTTGTCATTTGCTACTTACAGATTATGTATTAAATGCCTTTTATGTTTATGAAAGTGGCCCCTGCTCATTACTACAGAGAGGCCATTATGCTGGATAGTCTCTATTCAAGTACTTACATTACTTTGTAACAGCTTACATCTATGGAAGAATTATAAAATATTACAAAAGGCTCACATAAATCCCCACAGCGTTGATCCAATTATCAACACTTGATATTATTATAGTACATTTGTTAAGATAATGAAAAACATTTAAGCCTCATTTTTAGGTATGATTATTACCTAAGTCCATACTTTTTCCCCCTTTACTCCAAGTTTCCATCCAGGATGCCTTATCATTGTGGCATCATGTCTCCTTAGATTCCTAAACCATGACAACTGTCAAACTTTACTTTAGAATGACCTTGTCAGTCTTGAGGAGCAACTATCAGTTAAAAGCTATAAACTAGTATTTGTGAAGGTTTTTTCTCACTAGATTGAGGTTTCTTATTTGGGGAGATGACCACTAATATAAAGTGATGTTCTATTACATCATGTCAGAGGCACATACTATCAACACATTCCTTTTTTTAAAAAAAAAAAAAAGAGTATTCCCTCATATATTACATCTGATCGAAGTTTCCCCTTCCTGCTCCCCTCTCAGCTTCCCCTTGCACCTCTCTTCCCTCCCCCGCATCTACTACTCCTTCGTTTCTCTTCAGAAAAGAACAGGCCTCTCATTGGCTATCAATAAAACTTGGCATACCAAGCTGCAGCAAGACTAGGCACCTCTCCTCATATTAAGGCTAGATGAGGCAATCCAGTAGAGAGAAAAGAGTCCCCAAAGCAGGCAAAAGAGTCAGTGACAGCCCCTGCCTCCACTGTTAGGAGTCCCACAAGAACACCAAGCTTCACAACCATAACATATATGCTGAGGGCTTAGGCTAAACACACGCAGGCTCCCTGATTATTGGTTTATTTTTAAATATGTGCATGTAGGTGTGATGGTATGTGCATATGAGTGTATGTGACCATGGAGGCTAGAGGCATGAGATCCCTGGAGCTAGAGTGAGAAGTAGCAGGCATATGACCTGACTATTGGGAACTAAACTCTGGCCCTCCATGCGCCTTGTCTAGCCTCAATAGATGTGCCCAGTCCTACTACAACTTGACATGCCAAAGTAGGTTGATACCCATGGGAGGCCTCCCCTTCTATGAGGAGAAAGGGAGGAGGGTAGAAGGGAAGTGTGGGGGGTAGGGAATAGGAGTAAAAAAGGAGGGGAAGCTCTGAGGGGGTGTAGAGTAAATAAGTAAATCAATGAATG